TTCATTTGGTACCATCACTTTGTTCGAGGTTTGTATAGGGAGGCTTCCAGAGCCATTTTTGTGTCCTGACCACCAGTTGGAAATCAGAAATTCAACAACTTTGTTCTACAAAAAACTGAATCTGAACATATGGTGGATACCAAAATACTCGTAGAGACTCCCTCTTTCATTTGGTACCATCACTTTGTTCGAGGTTTGTATAGGGAGGCTTCCAGAGCCATTTTTGTGTCCTGACCACCAGTTGGAAATCAGAAATTCAACAACTTTGTTCTACAAAAAACTGAATCTGAACATATGGTGGATACCAAAATACTCGTAGAGACTCCCTCTTTCATTTCAGTTGGAAATCAGAAATTCAACAACTTTGTTCTACAAAAAACTGAATTTGAACAAATGGTGCATACCAAAATACTCGTAGAGACTCCCTCTTTCATTTGGTACCATCACTTTGTTCGAGGTTTGTATAGGGAGGCTTCCAGAGCCATTTTTGTGTCCTGACCACCAGTTGGAAATCAGAAATTCAACAACTTTGTTCTACAAAAAACTGAATTTGAACAAATGGTGCATACCAAAATACTCGTAGAGACTCCCTCTTTCATTTGGTACCATCACTTTGTTCGAGGTTTGTATAGGGAGGCTTCCAGAGCCATTTTTGTGTCCTGACCACCAGTTGGAAATCAGAAATTCAACAACTTTGTTCTACAAAAAACTGAATCTGAACATATGGTGGATACCAAAATACTCGTAGAGACTCCCTCTTTCATTTGGTACCATCACTTTGTTCGAGGTTTGTATAGGGAGGCTTCCAGAGCCATTTTTGTGTCCTGACCACCAGTTGGAAATCAGAAATTCAACAACTTTGTTCTACAAAAAACTGAATCTGAACATATGGTGGATACCAAAATACTCGTAGAGACTCCCTCTTTCATTTGGTACCATCACTATGTTCGAGGTTTGTATAGGGAGGCTTCCAGAGCCATTTTTGTGTCCTGACCACCAGTTGGAAATCAGAAATTCAACAACTTTGTTCTACAAAAAACTGAATTTGAACAAATGGTGCATACCAAAATACTCGTAGAGACTCCCTCTTTCATTTGGTACCATCACTATGTTCGAGGTTTGTATAGGGAGGCTTCCAGAGCCATTTTTGTGTCCTGACCACCAGTTGGAAATCAGAAATTCAACAACTTTGTTCTACAAAAAACTGAATTTGAACAAATGGTGCATACCAAAATACTCGTAGAGACTCCCTCTTTCATTTGGTACCATCACTTTGTTCGAGGTTTGTATAGGGAGGCTTCCAGAGCCATTTTTGTGTCCTGACCACCAGTTGGAAATCAGAAATTCAACAACTTTGTTCTACAAAAAACTGAATCTGAACATATGGTGGATACCAAAATACTCGTAGAGACTCCCTCTTTCATTTGGTACCATCACTTTGTTCGAGGTTTGTATAGGGAGGCTTCCAGAGCCATTTTTGTGTCCTGACCACCAGTTGGAAATCAGAAATTCAACAACTTTGTTCTACAAAAAACTGAATCTGAACATATGGTGGATACCAAAATACTCGTAGAGACTCCCTCTTTCATTTGGTACCATCACTTTGTTCGAGGTTTGTATAGGGAGGCTTCCAGAGCCATTTTTGTGTCCTGACCACCAGTTGGAAATCAGAAATTCAACAACTTTGTTCTACAAAAAACTGAATCTGAACATATGGTGGATACCAAAATACTCGTAGAGACTCCCTCTTTCATTTGGTACCATCACTTTGTTCGAGGTTTGTATAGGGAGGCTTCCAGAGCCATTTTTGTGTCCTGACCACCAGTTGGAAATCAGAAATTCAACAACTTTGTTCTACAAAAAACTGAATTTGAACAAATGGTGCATACCAAAATACTCGTAGAGACTCCCTCTTTCATTTGGTACCATCACTATGTTCGAGGTTTGTATAGGGAGGCTTCCAGAGCCATTTTTGTGTCCTGACCACCAGTTGGAAATCAGAAATTCAACAACTTTGTTCTACAAAAAACTGAATTTGAACAAATGGTGCATACCAAAATACTCGTAGAGACTCCCTCTTTCATTTGGTACCATCACTTTGTTCGAGGTTTGTATAGGGAGGCTTCCAGAGCCATTTTTGTGTCCTGACCACCAGCTGGAAACCAGAAATTCAACAACTTTGTTCTACAAAAAACAGAATCTGAACATATGGTGGATACCAAAATACTCGTAGAGACTCCTCTTTCATTTGGTACCATCACTTTGTTCGAGGTTTGTATAGGGAGGCTTCCAGAGCCATTTTTGTGTCCTGACCACCAGTTGGAAATCAGAAATTCAACAACTTTGTTCTACAAAAAACTGAATTTGAACAAATGGTGCATACCAAAATACTCGTAGAGACTCCCTCTTTCATTTGGTACCATCACTATGTTCGAGGTTTGTATAGGGAGGCTTCCAGAGCCATTTTTGTGTCCTGACCACCAGTTGGAAATCAGAAATTCAACAACTTTGTTCTACAAAAAACTGAATTTGAACAAATGGTGCATACCAAAATACTCGTAGAGACTCCCTCTTTCATTTGGTACCATCACTTTGTTCGAGGTTTGTATAGGGAGGCTTCCAGAGCCATTTTTGTGTCCTGACCACCAGCTGGAAACCAGAAATTCAACAACTTTGTTCTACAAAAAACAGAATCTGAACATATGGTGGATACCAAAATACTCGTAGAGACTCCCTCTTTCATTTGGTACCATCACTTTGTTCGAGGTTTGTATAGGGAGGCTTCCAGAGCCATTTTTGTGTCCTGACCACCAGTTGGAAACCAGAAATTCAACAACTTTGTTCTACAAAAAACAGAATCTGAACATATGGTGGATACCAAAATACTCGTAGAGACTCCCTCTTTCATTTGGTACCATCACTTTGTTCGAGGTTTGTATAGGGAGGCTTCCAGAGCCATTTTTGTGTCCTGACCACCAGTTGGAAATCAGAAATTCAACAACTTTGTTCTACAAAAAACTGAATCTGAACATATGGTGGATACCAAAATACTCGTAGAGACTCCCTCTTTCATTTGGTACCATCACTATGTTCGAGGTTTGTATAGGGAGGCTTCCAGAGCCATTTTTGTGTCCTGACCACCAGTTGGAAATCAGAAATTCAACAACTTTGTTCTACAAAAAACTGAATTTGAACAAATGGTGCATACCAAAATACTCGTAGAGACTCCCTCTGGTACCATCACTTTGTACGAGGGTTATATAGGGAGGCTTCCAGAGGCGGACATCTCTCCTGATTCACTGGATTAAAATGTTTGTGACTTAGTAATACTTTAGTTTTAGATTATAATAAAATATGTTTCAAAATCTTCGTATTTTTTATTAGTTTCCATTACTAATGAATTATGTTAACATTTTTAGTAATAATTTTAAAAAAATATATTAATTTATAATATTCTGCGCTCTCTGTTGGAAAGCACTGTTGATAAAAATAGTATTAAACGTGAAATTGTGATGTTCTGTGTCACCCTGTAATTTCGATAAAAATTTTGTTATCGAAAGTTAGCGATATCGCTAACTTCACGCAGGTACAAAATTATTGTTATTGATAATATTTTCGATAGAAATTTTAGTTATCGACAACATTTTCTATAGAAATCTTGCACAGAAACACTATACTATTTTCTATAAAAATTATTGTTATCGGAATTGTCAATAACAATAATTTCTATAGAAATCAAAGTTATCGAAAATATTTTTTATAGAAATTAGATTTATCGACAATATTTTCTAGGGAAATTATTTTTATCGATACATTGTTCTATAGAAATTATTTATATGGACAATACTTTACTAATTATTGTTATAGATAATATTTGCGATATAAATTTTTGTTATAGATAGTATTTTCAATATAAAATGGTTATCCATAATATTTTTAATATAAAATGTTGTTATCGGCAATATTTTAATAGATATTATGTCTGTGTGAATTGTGGTTATTGACAATAATTTCTATATAATTAATCGTTATCGGTTGTATTTTCAATTAAAAACAAAATTATCGATAATATTTTCAAAATAAACAATACTCTGATACAATTTTTGTACAAAAATTTTATTAATCAATAATTTTTTTCAATGGAAATTATATTTATCGATAATATTTTTACATATAGAAATTTAATTAGTAGATAATATTTTCCAAAGACATTATTCTTATCGATAGAATTATCGATAATGTTTCCAATATAAGGTATTGTTATCGACAATATTTACTTTAGAATTTATCGTTATCGATAATAGTTTCTATCTACAATTTTTGCTATGGAAATCATTTTAGACGACAATATTTTCTATAGAAATTATTGTTATCGATGTTGGTAGTTTTACCACTGATAATTTATAAAAAATACTACTATTGATAACATGCTATATTTTGATCAAGTTATTATCGATCGTTAATATTTCGAATATAAAATTTAGTAATCGATAAGTTAATATCAGTAACAATTATTATAGAAAATATTTATATCTATAGAAATTTCTTTAAGAATTTTATCGAAATCACATCGTTATTAACAGCAAAATTAATTGTTTTTATCACAAAAGTTAATTTCCACATTTAGTTATATTATTTTTCAATCTTATTTAGGATAGTTATTTCAGTGTCACGCTTTTCAGATTAGAAGTTATTTGCAAATATTTATTAACCAATATCACAACTCAAATGAATATTCAAAATACAATTTAAATGTTAAACTGCACAATTATGCTTTCTACTCTCGCTTCAATTTCACAATACTTCCACTCTACTCTAATTCTCTCTCTATTTCTATCTGTACCTCTAGTTGTTACACACTTTGTAACAAACCGTTAAAAAAAAACTTTTAAAGAAATTATATATATTATTATAATTTACACATTAAAATACGTTATATTATTTTATTCCGCAAAATTTAGATTGTGCCGAATTTGGTACGCATCTTGAAAAATCTGATATTGGGTGGTTATTCTCCCGAACATGATGTCAGCGGTGTAAGCGATCCATTTTTACAAGTGAAAATCTTAAGGCTATTACGTATCCTTGGCCATAACGATACGGATGCATCAGAGGCAATGAACGATATACTGGCACAGGTGGCTACAAATACGGAAACAAGTAAAAATGTTGGAAATACCATTCTATATGAGACCGTGCTGTCCATTATGGATATAAGGTTGGTTAATAATACCTTTAATCTCAATTTGTTCTCTATAATTAATCATCATTTCTCGTTTTTCTTTTCAGATCTGAGGGTGGTCTACGTGTTTTGGCTGTAAATATTTTGGGTCGTTTCTTATTGAATTCCGACAAGAATATCCGTTATGTTGCTTTGAATACATTGTTGCGTACGGTGCATGCGGATACGTCTGCTGTACAAAGGCACCGCACCACAATTTTGGAGTGCCTCAAAGATCCCGATGTTTCGATACGAAAACGTGCTATGGAATTATCATTTGCATTGATAAATGCCCAAAACATACGTACGATGACAAAAGAGTTGTTATTGTTTTTGGAAAAAGCCGATCCAGAATTTAAGGCTCAATGCAGTTCAGGAATGATACTGGCGGCTGAACGTTATTCACCCAATACCAGATGGCATTTGGATACACAGCTAAGTGTTTTAATTGCGGTACGACAATTCTGTGAATTTGCGACTTTATTAAAATATTTATTTGGTTAAAATTTTTGTTTCTTTTGCATTTCTTAGGCCGGTAATTATGTCCGGGATGATGTTGTTTCCTCAACCATCCAATTGGTCTCGAGCAGCCCAGCTGTTGAACAAACATATATAACTAATCGTTTTTGGGAATCCCTACAAGTTTCCAATCATTGTGAAGATAAACAACCACTGTTGCAGGTGGCCGTTTGGGCTATTGGTGAATATGGTGACATGTTTATGTATGGTCCCAATGAAGAAGGTAAGCGAATTATATCCACGAAGTTTTTTTTAAATTATATGTCATTATTTTGTTTCCTTTTCTTTTCAGAATTTGAACGTCCATCAGAAAGTGAATTAATTGCTATGTATCATAAATTTTTAACGTCTGCTCAAGTATCAACAACTAGCAAGCAATATGCTTTAGTGTCATTAGCAAAGCTAAGCACCCGACTCCAGAGTTGTGTAGAGTAAGTTTAAATGGAATTTTTTATACATATTCGGACAAATACGGTTCTTTACAACATCAGTAATATTTTTGAAGAAACATTGTTTCCAAAAATATCGATAACAACATTTTATTTTCAACAACAAGATTTTCTATAGAAAACGGAATATTGTCGTTAATAAAATGTTCTATGGAACATATTGTCGATAATTTTTTCTATAGAAAATATTATCAATAACAATAATTGCTATAGAAAATATTCTGGATAACAATATTTTTTATTAAATATTATTTTAAAAATAATATTAACGATTATCGTTTTAATAGACATTTTTTGATAACACTATTTTTATATTTTATTGTTTACTCTAGAATGTCCTGATTTATATTAGGCGAGTTTCCTTGCGACAATTTTTATTATTCTCTTTTGAACTTGCTATTTTCTATACAAGGCAATTCGGTTTCCAAAATATTTTTTTATTTGTTTTTTTTTCACATTTAAATATATATAAAATGTCAACAAATACACAAAACGAATTTCCAGAAAATTGTCGATAACAGTATTTTTTATTAAATATTATTTTAAAAATAATATTCCCTCTCTCGTTTTAAAAGACATTTTTTGAGTAAACTATTTTTATATTTTAAATCAAGACAATATCTATAACAAAATTTCTATGGAAATGTCTATAGAGAACTATAATTGCTACATGATGGAAAATTTTCTCGATATTATATAGAAAACTTTCGATAACAAAATTTCATATAGCTAATTTTCTTGACATTGAAATTTTTCATGGAAAATATATCGATAACATTATAAGCCTATTGCAAATAATTTCGAGAACAAAATGTTCGATTATCGATAACAGCAATTTATATACACATTTTTCTAGGAATAAATTTGTAGATAATTATATATTCTATGGAAAATGTTATCAATATATATTGTCGATAACGATATATTCTATAGAAAATATACAATACATTCTATAGAAAATATACAATATATTCTATAGAAAATATTATCGATAACAATAATTTTTATCGAAAGTATTTTCGATGACAAACTATCTATACTATTACCTATAACAAGATTTTTACGGAAAAATATTACCGATAACAACATTTTCTGTAGAAAATAATATCGATAAAAAGATTATCTATAGAAAATACTTCTAATGCGTTGTACACACTAGCATTTTTGAATGACACTCTTGCTCAAATTTTGCTTGTTTGATAGTGTGGCCTCACATGTTTGTCATTCATCAGGCAACCACAAAAATATTTATGGTTGTTGGACAGTCAGTAATCGATAAAAAAGTTGACAGTCAAAACTGATAGTGTGTACACCGCTTAATATTTTGATATAGAAAATAGTCGATAATAAGGTTTTGAATAAAAAATTTGTCAATCTAATTTTTTCTATTTTTCTTTGCTTTCTTCCTGCACAGAGAAATTCAAGCATTAATTACCTCATTCGGCAGCCATTTAAATGTAGATTTACAACAAAGAGGTGTGGAATTTTCACAGCTATTCGGTACATATAAACATTTGCGTCCGCCACTGCTGGAAAAAATGCCAGCAATGCAAATTAGTCGTATGTCATCACAAAACGGGGAAAGCAGTGGTTCATACGAAGATCATAGTCCAGATTTAATTGAAAATGGTTTGGGTGATGAACAAATCGGCACCGAAAGCAATATGAACACCATGAGTGATAATACGGTATGAAAATACCTTTCCATCTCTTCCTATAATGTTATTAATTTTTTTCTTTTTAATTCTCATCCAATTAGAATATTCTTTTAGATCTTTTGGGTGGTTCGGATTTAACAACGCCAAGTCCTCTGACAAGCCAGGATCTTTCTGTACAAAAGAAAAATACGCTCAATGCTAACAATGATAATACAAGCACTTCGAATAATCAAGATTTCCTTGATTTACTCGGTTTGGATATGTCGTCGACACCGGCGTCGGCAACAACAAATGTTACCTCCAATGTTGTCAATAGCACCAACACAAACATGAACAATGTACTGATGGGTGTTGGTAGCGGCGTTGTCGGTGGTGGCGGTGGTGGTGGTCTATTGGATATTATATCGACAGCCAGTACTGCACCCACCAATGGCAATGATTTATCATCAATAATGGCTGCCGCTAGTATAAATATGCCTTCACTGGATTTAAACACGGCCAATTCCCTAATAAATGATCCGCTAGCTACGACAGCAGCTTTAAATAATGTTAGTGTGGTTAGTAGTAGACTTTTTACACAACTACTTTGATTCATAAATTGATGCATTGTTCTATTGTAATTTTATAGCCTCAAGGTCCGAAATTGACAGCTCTGAATAAGAATGGCGTTTTGGTTCAATTAGTTCCCGTTAAGACAAATGATTCAATGCAAATATATATGACAACAACAAATAGTTCTACAACCACATTAGAGCAATATCTATTTCAGGTAAGGATGGACATTTTTATTACAAAACAACAACATAGAAATTAACTTACATTAATTTTTTTTCAGGCGGCAGTTCCTAAAAGTTTTACACTACAAATGCTATCGCCTTCAGGTTCAGTTCTACCACCAGGTGGTGTTATAACGCAAGAAATGCGTGTTGTCAGTACGTCAAATGTAAGTTGCGTATACTTGTTGTAAAATTGAATATATTATAAAAATTATTTTTAATTTTTCTTACAGGCTACATTACGCATGCGTATACGCATATCATATGTCGCCGATGGTGTAAATGTCTTGGAGCAAACAGAAGTAAGTGGTTTTCCAGATACAACACCGGAATAGAACTCTTAACATACACCAAAAATAACACTGGTGGTTAGGAAAGACAATTGAAACCATAAATGCTAAAATTTTAAAATAATTACAAAAAACAACAACAACAAAACAATTGCAGTATAAAATAATTTAACATAATAATTTAAAGAAAAGAAAAAAAAAACATAAATATATAATATATAGTGATGATAAAGATGAAATATGATGGAACGTTAACGTGAAAATTAAAAAAAAAAACAAAAATAATAGCAACAAAATCAAATCACTCAAAACAACAACACAAAAGGACAATGTATGTCAAATTGAAAATAAAGAATAATAATTTTAATTATGATGATGATGATGAACACGAACATTGAAAAACTCCCTCCCCATTTGCGATATATGAAGAAGACATGCTAAGTAACAACAAATGTAAAACAAACAAACATAATATATATATTTTTTGTAATATACAAAAATAAGAATAATAACAACAACATACAAACACTGTGTTATTATTAACGACGACGTGAACAACAACAACAATGTAACAGACTTGTTTTTTCTACACATTCAAAATGAAACTGTCCAAAACAACAACTCTCTTTTTAAGACACAATATTTCTTCAAAGAAAAGAAAACAACAATCTAACTGCATACAACTACATACATTAAAAAATAACAGTTACTTTTTTTACTCCATCTTCTGCTCTTGCTCGTTCTTGAAACAATTTTTGCATATACCATACTCATACATACATACCTAAACGGGAAAAACATGATTTTTTTAATTAGATCATATTGTTTTGGTAAGTGAACACCACACATACACTCACACACAAAACGTCCTCCCTCCCCCTCTCCAAACCGACTAATTCTTATATTTGTGGAAAACAATACAAAGAAAATACATTTATATACTAAGGCATATGTTAAAGTTGTAATTTGTAATATACTAAAAAATAATAATAATAAACAATAACTACAATATATAAAAGAAGGGATAGTAAAAAACAACAAAAACTTAACGTAAATATCTTAAATGTTTCTTCTTTTCAAGAGTTTTAATTTTGTTTTAATATATATTTTTGGATAATTACTTGTTCATTTTCGAATAATTACAAAAAAAATATTTATATGTTATTTTCTATTCCGTTTTTATAAAATATTTGATTTAAAAAATCGTTTTCACAAAATGTATTTCATTTTTTTTGCATTACATTTTGTCTATAAATAATATTCTCCACTGTCGGGTTTTCTAAGGAAATACTAAACGTCATTAAAATCATATTTAGAAAATATTTTTTATAAAAAATATGGTCAATAACAAATATTGTCTAGAAATATTATTGGTAACAACTATTGGTACTTTCTAAAAGAAATATAGGTAATCGTATTTTGAAGAGGGAATGTTATCGATAACAATATTTTCTATAAGAAATGTCGATAACAATATTTTGTAGAGAGAGTGCTATCGATAACTCTATTTTCTATAAGAAATAATATCGATATATAATATTTTCTATAGGAAATGTTAGATTACATTATTTTCTAGAGGGCATTTTGTTGATAACGATATCTTCTAGAAAAAATGTTGTCGATAACAATGTCTTCTATAGAAAAAGTTGTATGTTCTATGGGAAATGGGGTCGATAAAAATGTTATCTATAGGGAACTTCTATTACAAAGTGCTCTATTTTCATTAACAATTTCTATGTGAATTGGGGTTGATAATATTATAGATAACAATACTATCTATTGGAAATATTTCGATATCAATATTTTAACGCACTTTTTCCTTAAAAAAGTTATCGATAACAGTATTTTCTATAAAAAGTGTTATCATTAATAATGTCTTCTTGAGGAAAATTTGTATGTTCTATGGGAAATGTGGTCGATAAAAATGTTATCTATAGGGAACTCCTATTACAAAATGTTCTATCTTCTATATTATCGATAATAATATTTCCTATGGGAAATGTGGTTAATAACAACGTTTTCTATAAGAAATATGAATAACAATACTATCTATTGGAAATATTTACGATATCAATATTTTAACGACCTTTTTCTTTAAAAAAGTTATCGATCACAGTATTTCTATAAAAAGTGTTATCGATAATAATGTCTCCTTTACGAAAATTTATCGATAATAATGTCTCCTTTAGAAAAAGTTATTGCTAACAGTATTTTCTACAGAAAAAATATGGATAACAATATTTTCTATAGGGAATATTATCGATAACAATATTATCTATAGGAAATATTATCGATAACAATATTTTTTATAGGAAATATTGTTGAGAACCATTTAACAGATAACAATATTTTCTATAAAAGATATTATCGATAACAATATTATTTTTGGAAATATTATCGATAACAATATTTTTTATAGGAAATATTGTTAAAACCATTTAACATTTAACAATATTTTCTATAAAAAATATTATCGATAACAATATTTTCTATAAAAATATTATCGATAACAATATTTTGCATAAGTAATATGACCAAATACAACATTTCCAATAGAAAATATTATCTATAACAATGTTTTCTTTAGAAAATATTATCGATAACAACATTTTCTTTTTTGATTACAATATTTCTTAAGTAAATATTGCTAATTCCAATAATTTATGTGGTAAAAAAAATAATTTATACAGAAATAATATCAACAACATTTTCTGCAAGGGATGACATGTTATGCACAACAAAATATAGACAATAATTTAAAGAAAATATTGTCGTATGCAATAGTTTTGATTAAAAACAGCATGACCGATTTTAATAATTCTCCCAGAATAAATTTTCGATAACAACAATATCTGTAGGAAATATTAAGGATCACAATATTATCACAAAAAATATCGATTACAAAAGTTGTTCAAATAGAAATGCGAATTTAATTGATACTCTGGATGATCCTTTTTTGCGGGGAATATATATTCACGATAACAAACTTTTAAAAAATAATGGCCGTGTTCCAGTCCTTACAAGAATTTAAAATTATTCGAAATTGGTTCCGAATTGAAAAATGTTCTATAAAAAATGTTTTTTTAGAAAAAAATTTAATTGCAGATCAATAAATTAAATGTATTAAAGATTTCTTATAGGAAATATTGTCCACGAAAAGATTTTTAATGATTATTTTTATCAACTGAAAACTGATATTTCCACAAAAGAGAATGTCAATTGTGTAATATGCTCGATAAATGTTCTAGAAAAAGAAAATCGAAAACAGAAATAATATAGGTTTGATTTCATATTCCCTACAATTAAAATAGGTGAATACAACAATAACTAGATAGATTATTAATTAATATAAAATATTTGTTCCTCCACCACATGGTTGAAAATTATTACAAATAAAATGTTTTGAGATGTTTTTGAAAATGTGAAATGTTTGTATGCATTGAAAAAAGAAAAATCCAAACTAACCTTCATTCCCTCTCCCAGGCGTTCCATATATTTTTTATAATAATTTTATTGTTTAACGCATAGCGTTTTTACATATTTAATTTAATTTTATTACTTCAATTATACAAAAAGACATCGTGTTGTTATTATTAGATTTTCATTTAAATTACATTGTTTATCATTTTTCTCCTTCATTAAATAAAAAAACTAACAAATTAAAAGCCAACATTTTAAATAATTGTCTTTATTAAATTATTACTATATTATGAGTGTACTTATTATATATATACATTTAATTTAACAAACAAACAAAACAATTAATCTACAACTTATACTAAGATTTGCATTGATTCAATTTCTGTTCTGTTCTGTTTTATCTTTTTTTTTTTGTTTTCTAAACTAATATTTCTTTGTGGTATAAATATTTTTAGATAAAATAAGTTATAAAAAAACAATAACTATATATAGAAAAACAAGTGAATTGTAGTTATATATAAAGAGGAAATATAAATAACAGAAAAATTATATATACACATATATATATAAATAATTATATATATTAAATAATAATATCGTATTATACATCAGGCAAATAAAAATGAAAATAACTCACAGTTTTGTTTTATTTGGGAAATATAATTTAAATTATCAACGTTATTGGGTGTTGTTGCTGGTAAAATATTCCCTAACCGAAAATTTTCATTTGCTTATAATTTAACGAAAATGTTCTGCATGCAAACCATAAAATGTTCTGCATATAAACCATATCGTTATATTCATTATAAAGGACTCAGTGCCTCTATATAATATCCAAGCTATTCTATTCCTATGATATCCATTAACGACAATATTCGTCAACGACTAAAGTAAAGTAGTGACTAAGTCCCATCGACAGATGAAAAGAATTGAAATACAATTTTATTTTAACCTGCAGATACTACTCCTAGAATGTTTGAAATGTAACCCATATAACGGTTATTCAGTTGTTTATTCTGAAGATTATAACCTATTTTTTCTATATAAATATTGTCGAGAACAATATATGACCGATAACCACATTTTCTATAAAAAAATATTACCGATAACAACATATTTTATAGAAAATATTATAGATAACAACATTTTCTATAGGAAATATTATCGATAACAACATATTTTATGGAAAATATTATCGATAACAACATATTTTATAGAGAATATTGATAACAACATTTTGTATAGAAAAAATATCGCTAACAACATTTTCCATAGAAAATATTATCGATAACAAAATTTCCTTTAGAAAATATTCAAAATAACAACATTTTCTTTAGAAAATATTATCGATTACAATATTTCTTAAGTAAATATTGCTAATTAAAAAAAAAATAATTTAATAGAAAAAATATCACCAACATTTTCTGCAAGAGATGAGATGTTATGGACAACAAAATACAGACCATAAGACATATTCTGAAGATTATAACCGTATTTTTGAAATTCCGAATTCAGGAAGAGGGAAAACCATCTCTACAATAAATGCAATACTGTCCATATTTTGTCGTAGTCCCTGTATAAAGATCCCGCCTCATTTTATGAATCATTCTCTAATCAAATTTTTAGGGAATACTCTTTCTAGAAAAACTTCAATGTAGGAGCCTGGTTCTCCATTGAGTTGCAAAATTTCCAACCACTTTTTTAAGCCACTTTATAACGATACCACTCTGACTTCTGCATGTTACGAAGTCTGAGCTAAATGATCGTAATTTTATATTTTAGATTTTTATTGAGGTGAAAATCTCGCTATTAAAAATGATCAATATTGGCCTAAGTTGCCTGGTAGCACCCACATAAAGTATTATGAACACGTTTTCGTTCATAATACTCCAAAGTGACATTGGACGCCAAATCTTCCTAGCAAAAATTATCAAATCTTTCTACCAAAAATTCAAAATTTAGGCCGATATTTTGTATACCTTAAGAGACTGAACCAATGCCTATAAACATTGTTGCTAAATAGTGTTTACGCGTCACTTTCAACATGATCAAGATCATCCTATGCCATGGTATTGCCTCATATAAAAGTCCCAATAGTTTTTAGTTTTAATGGACTCGCCTCATTTAAGGTCATTAAGAATTTTCTAGCAGATTTTTAACCGATTTGGCTGTAGTTTGGTATTCTTGGTTCTTAATAGTTAAAAACTTCGTAAAAATATCAATATAGGTCATTGGCCGAACCCCAAAGCCTGTCGTATGTACAAAAAATATTGAAAGCACGTATTAGTCTGACGAACCCCTTTTCATTAAAATTATACTTCATTGAAAAGAAATCAATCGAATTCGACCTTACCCATGTACTGTCAAAAATTTATTTTGCTTTCATACGATTATTTCGAGATAGATAGCATTTTGACATCTGTTTATACAGTTCGACCTTATAAAAAAACCTTCACTTTGAAGACTATGGCATTACCTATTACTTATATTTTGACAATTTTCCAAAATACAAATTATTCCTTTAATACGCATATCTTCATGCCAAACATATTTTAGAACCCCCACCGAAAAGTTTACAAAACCCCGTCATTTGCATTTCACTAAATGCAACACTGTGACCTGGCAGTCATGCAACATACGGAAAGCGAATGTCAAAATCAAAACAAACGAATTGACAATTGAAATTTTTCATTTCATTTGAAGGTGCCTGAAGATATTCCTTAAGATAAAAAATATAAAAATAAATAATTCCTATTTCAATCTGTAACAGATTCCAATAGGTTTCCTACTTGCCTGTCCAAGTATACCGAGCAACGAAGCCTAGCAACACACAGATACACACCAGTCCCGAAAGAAAACAAATTAAAAATAAGTTACCTCTTGTGAGCTGAAAGAAGAAATACGACGACGAAAAGTGTGTGTGACACAAGAAGAAGAATGTGAAAACGGACCAATAGAGATAAGGAAAATAATAATGGCCACATAAATAACACTAGAAGTGGTTGTTGGTGGTTAGATTCCAGATTTAGATTTTCAGACGAGTGCTGCGGCAATTTTGCAGAAAGGAAGTGAGTGAAAGGGAACATAACTTCGTAAGTAAGTTCTCATAAAAATATTGGTGCAATTATGTCTTCGGCCGTGGACATACAAATAGTTTCGGCTCCGAATTTAGCCAAGATAGAGAGCTATCTGAAAGATGCCTCGTATCGGGAGACCATCGAGTACAGTGCAAATTTCAATACCCGCCTGTGTATTGAGCGTCGTCTGCGTTTGCCGTTTTTGGATCCCCAGACGGGAGTAGCCCAAAATCATTCACATTTATTTGTGGACAAACGGCAACGTATGCCGGGTTTTAGGGAGGGTCAACTCTATACGTATCCAGCGGCTAGATGGCGTAAAAGTCGTCGGCAATATTTGAACAAAATGTACAAGTGAGCAAACCGTTTGATGATGTCCCATCAAGGACTGTTGTGAGTTTAAATTCAATGCTTCTTTTTTAGATTTCCAGATCGTCCTTTCCAGGCTTTGCGTAAAGATCATGAGGCTCTGGTGGCTAGCACAGCAACATCGGGCAGCGGGGGCACAGCATCGCCCACCGTTACATCGGTTGTTACAAATGATCCCGAATTTAATAGTTCTTTATTGGAAGAATCTTCATCCCTGGGTGCTGCTGGTGGGGATACATCGGACAGTAAGGACAGCCAACAGCAAGCGGCCCAACAACTCAAAGAGGACCTGCCCAAAGAGTGGTTTTATGACGAAATGGATATGCATGATAATGACTCGTTGGAGGAGCCTAAATCGCCTGCAGATGACGAATATGACTACGATCCACGCTATGGTACCAAGAAGCGGAGAAAGCGTAAACCGGGTAAAAAACCTTCACTTACACCTGGAGAAACACCGGGACCGGGTCGTCGACGTGGTGGTGCTGGTCGTGGGCGATCTGTGGCCGCCGCTACCCCTTCCTCTCTGGGAGATAGCTCAATGTCTGGTCTAGATTCGGTCGATGGTATGAGCAACACTGATACCACGGCAGCAACAACGGCAGCCAGTCCTGCAACACCCACCCCAGGCAGACGTCCCCGCGGTACCGGTACTCGTGGTAGACGTCGTACCAAGAATCAAAATGCCAATAATGGTTTACTTACTTCGGGACACAATGAAGAACCGCCCTCCTTTGAGTCTGTGGCCGCAGCTGTGGGCGTTTTAGGTGATCTACCAGCCGTTGTGGATGAGCACAATGCTGATTTACGCAATTATCGAAAATATTTGTAAGTGTTTTTAGATTATTTTTTCTTTTGCGATTTTTTTGTTTTGTTAGAAATTAAATACAATACTAGTTTAATAAGAATTCGAATTCAAGTTTTTTTCCTCCACGGAAATAACTTGGATTTTCCTGCATACATACAACAATACAAAAGAAGATGATGATGATACATTCATACAAATTTTTTTCCTATCAAAATATACCAAACCTAACCAAACCAAAATGACCACCATTCTAAATGAACAAAAAAAAAACAAACAAAACCAATCTATATATGACAACAAAGTCCTATTTTATCGTTACAACAAAATGTTTATTAGATTCAATCATGATATGTTTTGCTGTTTATTTCATTGATAAACTTAGTCCCGCCAATCTATTGTACACTATTCCTTTTTGCACTCCATAGTTGAATTTTGTTTAAATAGCAAGTCAAGTTTTTTTTTTAAAATATTTTTATATACAATTGTGACACAATCACATTCATATACATAAACACAAAAAGAAGGTTTCATACGAAATATGTTAATCGTTTTATTAATTTTAATTTTATTTAGCAATTGTTTTTTATCTGGGTTTATGCAAATACATATGTTATGAAATATTATTATTATTTTTTTATTATTTATATACAATCAAATGTATAACTAATAGTAATGGATAAGAACTTATTTTTAATGTCTCAAAATTATTTACGTTACTTAAAATTTAACTAATATTGAAATGAAAAGAAAAAAAATTTAGGTGAAGACAACATTTAAGAAATTTTTAAAAATAAATCATATCTATGTATATTTCAATTTGTGATGTCCACGTGCTGTGTGTGTTCCATGATTGACATTGTTGTTGTGTTAAGAAAAAAATAATCAACGTTTTTGTTCTCAATAAATTCGACGACACGCTTTTGGCAATATTTTGTTTTGCAAGAACTTATATCCTTCATCGCAAAAGCTGAGAAGCCGAGTTAACTTTGCCAAAAGACTATACACCGATAAGCCATATTTTTTTCTTTCTGCTCAAAACACTAGAATGGCTGCTGGACCGCGCAATTAGAAACTTTTTTGATCTAGTCGAATATATTGAGAGAAATATGGAAACTTCACCTTGAGGGAGTCTTCAACAATTTGACCGCTCCCGACTCTTCAGGTGTCTCCTCAACTTGAATTAAATGGTTTAATGAGATGCACATAAGTATGGGAGAAGTTGACATACGGCTGCTGTTTCTAAATGAAATCCTGGCAAAGTTTGATCATGTTAAGGTAAAGATTGTAGTCTACGCCGTCGATGAAGTCTTGTTGATCAGTGGTAAAATTCTGTCAACCATATACCTTTTAGCAAATCTTCAAACTACGTCCAAGATCGGGGTTTGTGGTCTACTCAATGAATACAGAAATGGTACCCTTCACGTAAAAATCCAAACTTTCGCCGACTTACTTTGAATGGAATGACCTTGGAACTCTCATTAGAAGCCAAATAAATCGGAATTATCCTTGATTACTAACTATCCAACGAAAGCGGCTGAAATAGTCGAATAACTTTATGTAAACTATATACGTCGATACACGAGCCAAATTCTGAGGCGGTTCATGACTGTAAAGTTGCTATGCCTGAAGCATATGTTAATATTTGTGTGGTTCCAAGACAATGTGAATGAAGTAAATGGGTATGAGCCCACTAAAGCGGTATCGCAGTCATCCGAGCTGAATATTGAGGAATATATAAGAGCATCTGTTGACCATTACATTGACAAAATCCGGTATGAGAACGTATGAGAATTCTGATAACAAATTTCAAAATCCATCTGGCCTAAGTAAAGCTAGTAGGAACGAAAAAGTGAAATAAATGTATGAAGTATCTCAAAAGCTCGCTGAAGGGGATCTTAGGCATCCAAGCTGCATGTTGAGGGATATGTACGAGCACCTATTGACCATTACATTGCCAAATCCGTTATGAGAACGCATGAGAATCATGAGTGCAAATTTCAAAATCCATCTAGCCTATGTAAAGCTAGTAGAAAAGAAAAATGTCAAAACAGTATAAAGTTATACGAAATGTTCTGGAACGGAAAACGACAATTCAGAAAAGTGTATACTCGGTCAAATTTCTCGAGTAAAAATTTGGCCCAACAGCTTCTTTATAAAAGTAGCAAAAAGAAAAGAAGTCTTGAATATTTTTAGCCGAAACCCTGTCCAGAAAGTGAGTCTACATGTAGTGCCTATTCTCGCAGACTAAATTGTTAAAACTTGTATCGAAATCGTAATTCTTGCAGAATAGTGTAAATCAATAATATGATAAACATTTTTTAAGAGTGATCGAAAGTTCCAACTTTTTTTGTTACAAAAAATATCAACAAAATTCTTTTAAACATTCTTTTTTTAAATTCTGATTTAGTCATAATCCAATTAATCAAAACCATTTTTATATCATAATAATACATAATCCTATTAAAAAAACCCTTTTTTGTAACTTGCTCCGTATATTTTTTAGTAGTCCAATATCCCTCTCTTTTACGTTTAACCCGCTTTGTAATGAACCTTAAGGTCGAAAGACTGGGCAATGTGAAATATAAAATAAATAAAAATAAATGTTATTTTAAATGCAGAATTTGTCCTCTTTCAGCGTAAAAAGTTAATTTGTTTAGGATTTTTTTTATTATCAAGATGTTACCAATTATGCCATTTGCCACATAATAATACGTCATCATACGAGGTGTCAGCTGTAAAGATAAACAAAACCAGTTTTCCAATGTTGGCAACTCTGTTGAAAAAAAAAATAAAATATGACAATTACTCACACAAGTTGTAGTTTTTTGACCGGGGGACGTGCTATTGTTGTTGTTTGTGTGTGTGGTGTTGTTGATACGACCAAAGTATGCGTGTCAATTCAGATATCGTGGAAATCCTGCTAGTAATATGTCTGGGAATAACATTACGTGGAATCACATCCTTAAGTTCCTATTCTGGAGCTTCAACACCGCCCATGTTTGGCGATTATGAAGCCCAACGTCATTGGCAGGAAATAACATTAAATCTACCGGCAGAAGATTGGTATCGGAATACATCGGATAATGATTTACTCTATTGGGGTTTGGATTATCCACCGCTGACGGCATATCACAGTTTGGTGTTGGGAAAAATAGCTAACCGATTGAACAGCAGCTATGTGGAACTGTACAACTCACGTGGCATTGAATCTGATGGCCATAAGACATTTATGCGCCACACTGTCCTCTGGGCTGATCTCTTTGTATACATTCCAGCGTGTATTGTCCTGGTGAAAGCAATGGAAAAGTTCCTCACGACGAAAAAGCAACGTTTGTCCCTTTTGATGGTGTTGATGTGTTATCCTGGTTTAATCCTAATTGACAATGGTCATTTTCAATATAATAATATATCATTGGGTCTAATGTTGGTGGCTGTGGCAGCAGTTTTAAGAGATGCATATGTTTGGGCCGCCTTCTTCTTTTCCTTGGCATTGAATTATAAACAAATGGAGTTGTATCATGCCTTGCCATTTTTTGTAATGTTATTGCGTGTAGCCTTTAATGGCAGGACATTTGGGTATAAAATTATGACTCTGTTTAAAATTGCCATGATTACATTAGCCACCTTTGCCATGTTATGGTTGCCTTGGTTAAAATCTAAAGAATTATTCTTATCGGTATTGGGCAGACTGTTTCCCTTTAATCGAGGAGTGTTTGAGGATAAGGTGGCAAATATATGGTGTTCCCTTAATGTGGTTTATAAATTCAAGGAAAATGTTACCAATTCCCAAATGGCCATAATATGTCTAGCAACAACCCTATTAGCCATATTACCTTTAAATGCCCATGCCTTTTATAAGGGCCAGAAAATCACCTTTCTCTTCTGTTTATTTAATACCGCCATTGCCTTTTTCCTATTCTCATTTCAAGTCCACGAAAAATCAATCCTATTAGCTGCTCTGCCAGCAATATGCCTGCTGCCGCAAATGCCATTTTATGTTGTGGCATTTTTGAAAGTATCTCTACTAAGTATGCTACCTCTATTCATTAAGGATAAATTATGTACGGCATATTTTTCTCTAATGATTAGTTTTACAATTGCCCTAAGGCACTTCGTGCAAATTGACTATCATAAAGATGTTAAAATTCAAAAAATTCTAGATATTCTTATGATCGTTTTGGATATTATTATATTGATAATATCATTGACTGCAATTTTTGTACCCAGCCCCGCAAGACTACCTCATATTTGGTCACTTTTTATTTCGGTATTTTGTTGTGGTTGTTTTTTAATTCTTTTGATGGTCTCGACTTTATATCAATTTAATTTGGAAAAATATTTACATAGAATATTTTATAAGATTATTGAAAATAAAGTAAATTAGATGATAGATTGACTTTATATATTGTATGATATATATATATACAAGAAAAACAGAAATCTATATTTTTACACAATAAACAAATAGGAAAATTAAAAAAATGGTATTATTTATTTTTTTAATTAGGGCATGTATATAGACTTTACTGCGACAAAAAAAAGTGCCTCATCCGAGTAATAGTTCTTTGCATTTGGTCCAAAGAAGCAGACCCCATGTTTTTATTTTACCAAAATCCAAACTTCAAAGCAAACAATCTGGCAACATCTCCTGCATTTTTTGTTTTTGATGGAATTACAATTTCATTAATTTTCCCATTTGCCGTACCAGGCAAACAGAATCGTGTAGCAGCTATATTTTGACACATGGTCAATTTCAAATGGCCATAACTCGGTGATGAATGGAGATATCTGGATGAAACTTTTACTATTGGATAGGCAAAATATTGTAGTTTTTATGACCATCAATAAATGATGATGTGTGTTAAGTTTCGTGAAAAACGGTTCAGATTTAGCTCCCATATATATTTTTGTCCGATTTAATGTAAATAGTGCAGAATTAGATATAGTTCTTATATATATTTTCGTCCGATTTAATGTAAATGGTGCACCAAAGACCCTATATATTCTTCGATTTGCACGAAATTTGGCATAGCGTACTGAATTGAGTATAGAATGATGTGCGCTAAGGCGACGTCTTTTAGGATATATATGTAATATATACCGCAGTGTCGGCCCAGTCCGACTTTACTACTCTCCTTACTGGTTTTTTCAATACTTTAATGTCAGTTTGAGTGTTCACATTATCAAGAATTCACTGTATGACTCTTATTTACAGTCTCTTCATTTTTTTTTAATTTAGAAAAATTCCCCTCATAATTAAGAATAAAAAACCCGTTTTCATATAGACATTTTTTTTAATATTTATACGTGTATTTAAACAACTTGTTCTCTTTATTAAGTTAATATAATTATTATATTATTTATAATATATATTATTTATAATTATAATAGCTGATTTGTTTTTTTATTATTTAGACAAAAAATTTAAAACAAAAAAATAGAAAATAAATCAAAACATTTTGTTTTTTTTTCTGTAATAATAATTATACACATATACACAATTTTATTAAATTTAATTTGTTTTTTTTTTTCATTTTTTTATAAATATATATAGTAGATTTGCTCCCAAAAATGTTTTGAATTTGAATTTTGTTTTGCCATTTTTTTTCTATAATAAATTACAAATTTGTTACAGTTTCTTGCAGAAATTTGAATTTTGTATGTCAAAAAATATATGTTTAGGTAAAGTTTTATAATAAATTTATTTGTTTTTTTTTTAATCTGACATTAAAATGAAGATCAATGCTAATGCTTTTTGTTGTTGTTAATTTTGTGTTACCTTAATTTTATTTAGATTTTGTTTTCGTTAGATTTTTTTTAAATAACTTAAATGTTTAAAAGAAAGGTAATCATTTTTTATATAATAATTATTATTATAATTTATTTGTAAAAAAAGATTGCATAGCAAACCCAAAGTAGTTATAATAATTAGTTTTTTTTATTTCCATGACAAATGAAAATGGATGGATGGAGTTGCTGAATTAAAAAAAAAAAACTCGAAAATGAAGTGAGATGATTATATTGTTTTTGTTTGTTGTTGTTCTTGTTGTTTTCGTAAAAACTAGGTTTTTGTTTTGGTTATTTTTATTAACTACTCGTTTTTGTTTTTCATACACATATGTATAGCATAGATTTTTTATATATAAAATATATTTACAAAGGTTTAACATACTCACTTATATATGATAAATATGATTTAGGGTATTTAAAAAAAATATTTAATAATAAGAACGAACAAATATTTATTTTACTATTACTACTATCTTTAGATATAAAAATTTGTGCTTAAACAAATGTGGATTTTTGGAGAACAAAACGTAACGCAGACACAAAGAGGGGAGAAGAGAAAAAAGGGGTTTTAGAATATAGAAAAGGGGTTTTAGTCGAATATTGTTGCAAAGAAAATATGCTGGGACCAACACCATTATTTTGCATTTAATAATTAAACACACACATACACTCTTCTATCCCTTAAAACATTTCCCATCAAAATCATTACAAGCATATTCGACTGTGTTTCATAGAATTTTTTTTCGTTCTACAATTTATACAAGTGATGTGTGTGTGTGAATTTGGTTGAGGAAAAGAAAATGTGATTATAATTTAAATTCTTTTCATAATTTGTTTTGTTAAATTTTGTAATAAAAACTAATAAAAGCATTAATAATTAATTATATGTTGCATTAAGGTTTGTGGTTTTTACAAGTATTGTGAGTGTGTGTGTATGTGTGAGGAGGTGTGGCTAACTAAAACTAAATTTACAAATTATTAACTTTTCTAAACAAAAGCAACAAAAACTAAATTTGTATAAAATAATAATTTTCAAAAACAAAACAATGTTTATTATTCATAATTACGATGAAGACTTTTTTCCTATGTGTTGCTGCTGCTCCTGTTTAGTAATTCTTATCTTTGACTATAGGTCTTATAAACACGTTGTGTTGACGATGTTGTTGTCGGTGATGAACAATTTGCCGATGTATTCGCCTGTTCATAGTCCTGATGGTGATGATGGTGTGTCTCCAAATTAAGCGGCACTCCATCATCCTGATTCATTTCTTGCATAATATAATCTCGTTTTTTAAAGTATTCCAATAATTTGTGTGTAGATTTTATGTGGGCCACAATGGATGCCTCAGCCTGAAAAAAAAAATTAATAAATATTTAAAAAAATGAGTTATTTTTTTAAGGATCCAACAGGCGTAGATTTTATAAAGAATAATTTTTCAACACCCAAGGCGTGGATTTTTTAAAGAATAGTTTTTCAAGAACCTAACAAGGCGTGGGTTTTATAAAGAAAAAAATTTCAATGACCCACCCAACAAGGCGTGGATTTTATAAAGTAAAAAATTTCAATGACCCAACAAGGCGTGGCTTTTATAAAGAAAAAAATTTCAATGACCCAACAAGGCGTGGATTTTATAAAGAAAAAATTTCAATGACCCAAAAAGGCGTGGATTTTATAAAGAAAAAAATTTCAATGACCCAACAAGGCGTGGATTTTATAAAGAAAAAAATTTCAATGACCCAACAAGGCGTGGATTTTATAAAGAAAAAAATTTCAATGACCCAACAAGGCGTGGATTTTATAAAGAAAAAAATTTCAATGACCCACCCAACAAGGCGTGGATTTTATAAAGAAAAAAATTTCAATGACCCAACAAGGCGTGGATTTTATAAAGAAAAAAATTTCAATGACCCAACAAGATTTTATAAAGAAAAAATTTCAATGACCCAAAAAGGCGTGGATTTTTTTAAGAAAAAAATTTCAATGACGCAACAAGGCGTGGATTTTATAAAGAAAAAAATTTCCATGACCCAACAAGGCGTGAATTTTTTTTAAGAAAAATGTTTTCAAGGACCCTACAAGGCGTGGATTTTATAAAGAAAAAAAATCCAATGACCCAACAAGGCGTGGATTTATTTTAAGAAAAATGTTTTCAAGGACCATACAAAACGTGGATTTTTTTAAGAAAAATGTTTTCAAGGACCATACAAGGCGTGGATTTTTTTAAGAAAAATGTTTTCAAGGACCATACAAGGCGTGGATTTTTTTAAGAAAAATGCTTTCAAGGACCATACAAGGCGTGGATTTTATAAAGAAAAATTTTCAAGGACCCAAAAAGGCCTGGATTTTATAAAGAAAAATTTTCAAGGACCCAACAAGGCCTGGATTTTATAAAGAAAAAAATTTCAATGACCCAACAAGGCGTGGATTTTTTTTAAGAAAAATGTTTTCAAGGTCCATACAAGGCGTGGATTTTATAGAGAATTTTGTTTTCAAGGACCCAACAAGGCATGGATTTTACAAAGAAAAAATTTCAAGGACCCAACAAGGCCTGGATTTTATAAAGAAAATGTTTTTCAAGGACCCAACAAGGCCTGGATTTTATAAAGAAATTTTTTTTCAAGGACCCAACAAGGCCTGGATTTTATAAAGAAAAATTTTTCAAGGACCCAACAAGGCCTGGATTTTATACAGAAAATTTTTTTCAAGGACCCTACAAGTATTATAATAGAGGTATTAATAATAGAAGTAATACTTACACTGGCTGTTAGATTCATAAAGTTATAATATTTCTCCAATACACCGATGATCTCCTTAAAACCATTGCCATGAACATGCGAGCGTACAATAGCCTCATATTCTTCATTATCGGTAATGAGATGGCCAATTAATATTGCGGTATAGGTACCTTTAAGGGAATGTTCCATATGGTGGCCAGCTTTTTGTAGTACTAAAATAATAAAAAAAATCATAATATTAAAACATATAACCTGCTGAATAATAATACCAAACAAACTTACAATTATTAACAGTCTCATCAACTTCCTCTTGTTTCTTTTTATTTTTATCCTGATTATCCAGGAAGGCATCTGTATTCTTTTCAACCAATCTAAAAAAAGAAAAAGAAATTTATTAGAAACACCTTTACATAGAAAGATAGCTACAAAACAAACTTACCTAGCCAATTCTTCACATTTATAGAAATAAGCCATTACCGCGGATATTGCCGATTCCCTGTGTTGCATTGGATCATGATGTCCCAAACTGAAGTCAGAAGGCGCATATGCCTTCATAACACGATCACGATTTTCTTGCGTGTGCATTGTTAGATTGTTGAGCAATGAAAGAGACTACAAATAGGGAAATAAAATACATTAGAATACATTTTTTTAATATTTAAAAGAACGTCACAATCCTTACCAATATGCTCAATTCAAAGACACAACGTTCCGGAATGTAGTTTGGCGCTTTTAGCAGCAAATGGAAACTTGTATCGATAACATCGGGTTTCCGTCCCACCAATTCCGCTCCCATTGTGCTAGTCGGACTAAATGAATGCGTCAGACTGATAAGCACCTTCATCAGCGGTATCAACAATTCACGAATTACAATTCCGGGATTATCGCGCGATGTAAATTCTGAGGTGGGATACATAATTAATTCACGATTGCACAACGAATAAAGGGAACAGAGTGTGGTAGCCGCTGATCCATTGTTGTAGGTGAGAATATATTTCTGATTTTCCTCATTGAGTTGGGTGACATTTTCCAAGACTCGCAAACACCGTTCCACGGTTTGCATATTATCCAACAAGGGTCGTGTCCAATTGATACCAGTTTCACTGTACACATTATCGATGACGGGACGACAACAATCATTGATGGTTTTTATAATGTGCTCCAGACCGCCCAGCTCTCTTAGCTCCTCCTTGAACCATTCACCTGCCCGTTTAGAGGTCAGTGACAACAGGGTTTCCATGGCCAGTGTTCCCACAGTTATGGAATCAACATTTAAATGGGTACCTTTACCCTGGCCCTTGAGCTCCTCACACAGCTCACGTACTCGTTGTTTGTTACGTTCATAGTTGGCATGATCGGCTGGTGCTGCCACCGTTTGTTCCGACTCCAACAGTAACATCATCAACTCCAATGAGTCCCGATCTAAATCCATATTCAAACCTTCTTGCGATAATATATACATAATTGCTGTGGTACACAGACCCAGTGAGAGATCACGATTGGCATCCGATAACGCCTTGAAGAACTTGGTGACAACACCATGAGCTCTGACATGCATACGAAAAGCAGGAACCATACATTTGGTGGCCAATTGCAGGGCCGACAGGCAACGAGTAGACATGGGATTGTGCGGTTGTAAGGCATCCAAAATATACTCAACATCGTCGTCCATTTCTTGGTATTCACCAATTTCTTGAATTTGATGGGCGGTCTTGACATTTCGTACCACGGTGTAGTATTCCTTTGCTTTGCGATCGATTTTCACCGAAGTAATCGTGTCGGCGCTGGGGTCATCCATGCCCGAATTCATGGAAGGTATAGCTTGTGGATTGGGTTTAATAACTCGGGTCATCTTTATTGGAGGTACCGGACTGCTGCGTGTTTCGTCGCTGTTGAAGTCATTGAATATGGCTTCGACTGTGGCATTGGTATTTTTCACCTCCGCCGGCTTGTTGACGGCTGGAGCTGTTGCACTGTTATCCTCACTATTTGCATCGCCATTGGCAGATGCTTCCCATCGATGTTTATACAAATGACGCTTGCCTGCCTGTTCGGTTTGCTCGGAGGGAACCCGGCTCTTGAATATGCTACCCTTCTTTTTCGATATCACCAATTTAACCGGTTCCACCTGTTGAGAATTACTGTTGTTGCAGGGGACGGCACTAGTCGAAGATGAATCGGTCTGTTTTACAACTACCGTGTTGTTGACTTGCGTATCTAGGGTTAGGGTTCGCTTGAACTTATCCTTTATTTTGTAATCTCTTAGTGGAGGCGATAACGAGGGCTGGTCACCGCCACCTAAACTACTAGGCGGCCGCGGTAAGGAACACGAATCCAGGGAGTTGTTCTCCTGTATATCCAATGAGGGTGTGAGGCGATTTTCATTGAAAGGCTGAATGGGTGTAATTTGCGTGTCGATGTTGTCCGTTGATGGCAAATCTAAGTTAAGTTGTTTGGCGGGCGGGGGATGTGTGTAGTCTTCGTTGTCCTCCTGGGCTGTGGGTTGTAGAACTTGTGTCGTTTGTTGGTTCTTGCGTTTGCGGCCATAGCTTTTTTGTGTAACTGCAGGTGGAGGATTGGCGGCTGGCGCTGTTGTTGCTGCCGTACTTTCGCATGGTGAGGAAAGCTTGTGATTTGCTACAGAATCTTGATGATTGTTCGCCTTGGCGGTTAGATTTATTGCAATTTTGTTAATGTTATTGTTGTTGAGATTGTTGTTATTATTATTGGCATTACGACTGACCCGACCTCTTCTTGTTGTTACCACCGGCGCTATTACAGGATTGTTTTCCTCCTCAGACTTGTTGGGTGAGGATTCCTCCATAATTGCTGGGGTCGTTTGCTGTATTGCTGCGGCTGTGTCATCCATAACCATGGGTTCGTCGACCACCTTTTTGCCCCTTCGTGTTGCTCGTTTATTTGTGGCTGGTGTTTCCTCGGCCACCAAAGCTGACGGTTGTAAAACGGCAGCTGGTTTGCGACCTCGCGTTCTTGTCGATTGCACTGGAGCAGTATCCACATCTTCGGGTGGATCAACGTAGTTGGCTTTCGGTCTCCCTCTCGTTCGCTTGGCCGGGGTCGTTACAACCGGAGTTGGTGCTGATGTATCCACGCCACCTACATCTGCTGCTGCGTCCGCCGCTGGTATGTTTTCATTCACCTCTTGGTCTAGACCATTTTCTTTGACCACAGTTTGTGCTTGCGGTTGTGCCGTTTGAGCATCCTGCATTGTCACATCCATGGCGGCTGTGGTTTCGTCCCCCCTCAACACAGCTAAAATATCTTCTTGTAATGGTTCGGCTTCAACGAATGTGGCAGACGTTCTTTGCTGCTGACTACTCTCACCGTCCATCATCATGGATTCCAGTCTTAGTTCAATATCAGATGGTGGTGCCACCAGCGATGAATGCTGGCTTGTTTCAAGGTCACTTGTTATCACACTAGAGCCCCTGCTATGCAGTACGCAACTTTCTTCCGGTGGTGGTTGTATGTCTAACGGCGTGCTATTGCCCTTTGACGATATACTACCCAAGACGGAGGATTGTGAATCAAAGTCGCGTTCTGATAATGCTGCGGGAGATACAATTGTTCTAGCATTCGAATGTGATGGTGCAGCACTAGCGGCAGCAGCGGGTATTAAAGGATTTGGCGGGTGATGTGCTGACGTCGTATGGGTTTGTTGGTGTTCGTGTATGCTGGCGGGATGTGGCGAAGGTATTTTAAATTCATTCGTTGAGCAACCTTGTTGGGGCGCTAACTGTTCTACCGCCGAGTGCTTGAGATGCTTACGTTTCTTTTTCTTTGTTTTGCCCTCCTTTCCAGAACGTCCAGCATTGCCTGAAGATTCGAGGAGTTCTTTCTTTGCTTTGGCCTTGGCTGCAGCGGCGGCAGCAGCTGCTAGAGCATTTCGTATGACATCGGTTTTGATGATTAATTTCAAGCGTTCCTTTGGTGGTTTGTCGGGTGATATTTTCACTGTGCAATAGTTGATTTCTGGTGGTTCTGGTTCTGGCTCGGGTTCTTCCTCCTCTTCTTCCTCTTCACCTTCGCTTTCTTCTTCTTCCTGCTCTTCCTCCTCCTCTTCTTCTTCGTGGTGTGTACTAAGTCCACTCGCAGTTAAATGATGATGATGTGAAGGCGATGGAGGTGGTGGTTTCAAAGGCTTTACAATAATCTTCGGTGTTGTAACTATGGCGGCGGCGGGTGTTGTGGAATCTTCTACGGAGGCTTGACGAGATGATTTACCTATTGACAGCGACAGCGATGTCTGCGGCGTCTCAGTGAGAAGTGTGTTAGCAGCAGACGTTGTGGGTTCCGATGGAGGCGTTGATGAGGAAGCATTCGGTTGTTGTTCTTCACTATCTGTACTGACTAAGCGTGAGGTACCCTGTAAAGAAAAATAAATAAATAAAAATTACATTAATAATTTATATTTCACTGGCATCAAAAAAGGTAATTGAATACATAAAAAATATATAATTTTTTAATAACGGAGAGAGACGGATGGAGATGTACCAGAAAAAGTTCACAGCAAAACAATACCGCTTTATTAAGCGACGAACGTTCATTTACAAATGAAAAAACAAAAGCCACTTGAGAAAAGAAAAATAGTGAAAGCAAACAATAAGATTACATGCCAACAAGAGTGTGGTGTGGCCACTGACCAATGTGTTTATGATGGAAGATTGCTGCAGACAACCGATCAGTGTAGCCAGATCATTGTGTCACTGAAGATTAAAAAAGGCGCGTAAACATTCTCACAACCATCCCATATGAAGAAGAAAGTAGGTTAACAGAGTGTGAGAGGGAGGAAGTTCTCTACGCACAGCTGATTGTGTTACCAGTAAAGAGAGTAAAAAAACAACAAGAAAAGGTGAATACGTGCGTGTGTGTGTTTGTTACTTTTTTGTGTAAATTCAATGTCGTTGTTGTTGCTTGGTATCGCATCGTTTGTCGTCATATTGCATTGGACCGTTGTGTGTGTGTGTGTGTGCATTGTAAATGTAAACTAGATTAACAGTGAGTGAGAGAGACAGAGAGGTAATGGGAAAGGGAATGTAAATATGTAGTAATTGTTGTTGATATTGACATTTACGGACAGTAGTAGTGGCAGCAGTTATCTAGAAGATATGCCGTTATAAAAACGATTATTGTATGATGCAGAGATACATTTTTAGATGCATTTTTGTTTATTGTTTAGAAACCAATGAGGGGAAGTATGCCAACGATGTGAAAGGCGAATTTGTTGAGAGAAAAAATTAAGTAAAATGATAATCATAATAAAAATGGAAGCGATTTCAATAAATCTGTAATGTTATGGGAATTTTTTGACATTTTTGGCATGTCAAAATGTGAGTAGATAAACAACGCCACTATATTTCGGGTGTTATTAAGTGCCAACCCATCGGAATTATGCAGCTTTTAGTTTATGTATTTCAATGGATATTTACACTATGCAACCAATGGTCAACCTAAATTAGGGGTGGATTTTAAAATATTCACATAAAGGGATGATCCATTAACACGACTCCAAAATATCACCAAGAACATAAAGCAGCTGTCCACCAACAAAACAAATGGAATCATTTTTTTAACTTATATTATTGGAATTTTAACTTGGTGCATTATATTCTAATGCTATATTCAGCTGCATAAATATATTTATTAAAAACATGCAGTTTCGAAGTGAAAAAAAACACATGTATGATCCACCTACAAGAAGATGACGAACTAACACAAGGAACACAAGAAAGTTTAATAATAATATATTGACTAACTGTGGAATATATGAACAATCGCTGACAGCCATGGAGAGTCTTACAGGACTCAGTTATCCCTTGTTTCTCAAATAACAGTTTACATAGGATTTCGACCACATGTCCACAATTGTTTAATGTTTGTAGTCAATGTTTTCGAACGGAATCATCTTGATTACTTTAGATCACATTAAGGATTGCACTTAGTTTCCTAGGGGAGTTGGCAATCTCTTACTAGGCGTGTCTTCCCGGGTGGCGGATGGGAAGGGGGTCTCCATGATGTGCAGAGTGAAACTGACCTGAAACCTTGGGGATCTTCGGATCCCCCGTGGACCAAAATGGATCGGGGTAGTGCCTTTAAATAAATCAACTACGATGGGTAAAAGAAGAAAAATGAATAAAGTTATGGTGCAGGGAGTTAATAACCCAGTACCGGCGGCAATCGTTGGTGAGATCAAGCGATTGTGATCCAGCTATTCTAGGTGTGGATGCCTTGATACCTGCAGCTGTATCTGTTGCAAGTGCATCTGGCTGACAGGACTGTAGTTCTGGGAGGGGACGAACTACACGGTACTCCTAGCGCTATCCGCGATAGTCTAGAGCAAAGTAAGGAACTATTCGACCAGTTAGACAGACTGATACCGCTTCCGGAGGAACTGCTACTGAATCTTACCCTAACTCATGAAGAGCTGGACACCACGGTGATCCCAGCCAAGTCTACACAGGGGGATTGCTGTAGTATCAACGAAGGAAGCGCAGAGCCTATTGACCGACCGACTTCAAGTCTGACTACAACAGGTCCTTCATATGCAATCTCCGACCGACCCCACAAGCGGCTCTGAACCCAATGCTGAACTTAAGTTATTAGCATTAAGTGTCAGGCAGCGCGTAGTGCGCTAAGGCTAAATGAATCATCTATGAACAATCTATGGCGAAATTGTACCTACGGATGTACCTACGGATGTATCCTGAACGACATCCGTATGACATTGGACCAACGCGCAAAACTAAGCGAATGTATATCGTCGATGAAAAAGCAGACGAATTAGCTAGACGAGGATCTCAATCTACAGATCTAGCAATCGATTGCTCAATCAAACCATCCATCTGTCATCTTTTTCGGAACTTTGAGGCGTTCTTCGAAGAACGAGCCAATATTTTCTGTCCAATTTCTATATCCATCGAAACTATTCCCACCTTCCTCCTAATACTTCTTGTTAGCTTCTTATCCTTACTTTATAGCCTCCTCCGAATGTTTGTAGCCTCCTCCGAAAATTTGATCGCGATTGATCTCTACGTACGGTCTGCATTACAATTTATAATGATGAGATGGACGTTTCAGAGATTTAAAATATGAAATACTTTAAATAAGTCTGGACAAGATTAAGACAGGTTTGACTATATCGAGGATGCTAGATCTCCAAATTGGAAAATTAATTGAACAGCATAGAATCAGCAAAACACAGCACGCAAATGGAATGGAAGCAAAATCGTCTATTCATATATTGGAGTTCCATAAGAAAAACAGTCAACATCAGCACATCACAGAGAAGAGCACTCCCACCTCTATTGATGCTCGTGGTGATTAATGAAATCCTAGAGAAGTTCGATGACCTTAAAAGCACCAAGACAATGATCTTGGGTTAACTCCGCGAAGACCGAATGGTACTTTTGAGTGGACAACGTATCCCATAAAAATTTCCAGCCACTAAAGAGTAGCGCGGAGGACCGAGCTCAATGGAAATGTCATGACATGACATTATTGGAAATCGTTATATTCTAGGTATTCTAGGTAAACAAGCACATTAGCGGCTCTCTACTTCTCTACTTTCCATACACAAATAACTTTACATCAGCCAATTTCCAAATTTTCCTCAAAAAATTAAAATAAATAAACATTAAATTACAATTTTTAGAAGATATAAGAACGATAATCTACATACCTTCGATATCCGCAAGACAATTGGAGGATGTTCGGGCGTTTTGGAAGCTGCACTATTTACAATGTTCTGTGTTTGATGTTGCTGCTGCTGCAGTGATTGTTGTTGTTGCTGCTGATGCTGTGGTGTTGGCACAGCCGGTGGCGGTAATACCGGTTCTGGTGTATCACACGAAGCATAAACATCATCGACTTTATGAGCAGGCGTTGGTGGTGGAGTCTCTTGGACACTAATCACCTTTTCGGCTTTCTTTTGTTTGGGCACTATAATATCTTTAATGGGTGTAGGCATACGATCATCATAATCATCTTCACAATAGTTGACGGCTTTACGTGCCCTGCCCAATATACGTGATGGTGGTGCTTCAGGTTTAAGTTCTTTTTCGGCTTTCTTCTTTTTGCTGGATTTCGGTTCGGGACGTGGTGCTTTTTCAACATCGCTGTGATCCTCAGTTATACTATCGTCCAATGTCGTACCACCACCATCTGATGTTGTGGTACCGGATTTCTTTGATGCCTTTTTTGGAGATTTCTTTTTCCGCTCTGCAGAATTAGTTTTGGGTATTTTCATTTTAATCGGTTCCCGTATGGGTGTGCCTAAGAAGGAGGGCATTACCGAGCCACCTGTGGTGCTGGAATCACGTGTTGGCGAAGCAGGTGTACGGGGTATTTGTTGTATAATTTGTGCTATAACTTCGGGCGGTGTGGTATTGCGTGATTTGAAGAATTTACGTGGCTTTGGAGGATCAGCGGAAGATGATTGTTCATCATCTTTATGCGATGCTGGACTTTCCTGGGGGCTGGCTGCCGCGACAGCAGCAGCGGCCGCTGCTACTGCTGCCGGTAAGGCAGACATTGTGTAGGTTCGGGTGGAGGTGAAACCCATTTTACCCCATTTGCCCATAGTACCCAGGGAACGGGCTACCGTGGGACGATTTGTGCTCTCTTTGGAGGTTTCCAAAGGAACCACAATTTGTTTGCCACCCCAACGTGACATTTTGTGGCTGGTTTGGTTATTTGGAACTTAATATGTTGTTGCTATTGTTGTTGGTTGTTTTTATTTTTGTTGTTGTTGAAGAGACTTTTGTTTATTGTAATTTGGAATTACTTTGAACCCACCATTACTGGGAATGGATGGGAGTTATAGTAGTTTCGTTTTTATTGTTTTGTGTATGCTTTTTCTTCTTCTGCTTTCGGTTGTTTTTATTACTGTTTAGTTAATATTTTCATCATCATCACCATACTCATTATAGTTATTTTACAATTGGTCATGATTTTTTTGTCACATTGTACACATTCATACATTAATATGTATGGTGGTTTTTCTTTTGTTTAATAAATACTAATTTGTAAAAAAAGAAGAAATAAATATTTATTTTTTTCTTTCAAAGAAAAAACACGACACGAAAAATCAAAACAATGCACTTTAAACGTCAATTTCAGAGATGTTTCTTTCTCGTTTATGTCATCGCATTCACACACACACACGGACGAACAAATATCAAACCATAAAAACAACAATACTGTACGGTTGATTGTTGAGACAATGGGAGGAGAGCGAGAAAGAGTGAGAGAGAGCTACGTCTTCGTTTGGGGTAAATAATAAAGAAACAAATACTATTTTTGTTTAGAATTTTTAATTTTAAATTATTTCTAATTTAAATTTATTTATTTTCCACTTAATTTTTATTTTGTTGCGTGATTTAATTTTCTTATTTTTATTGACACAATTTTGTTTTAAAATTTATTCTCTCTCTCTCTCTCTTGTTTCATTCATAACTGAGATTTCCTTTTGGTTGGTGTTGTGTTGTTTTTTTGTTCTTCACTTCTTCTCATCTTTCTTACTTTTTTCATATACACGACGAAGAAGAAATACAGCTCTGCTCTGCACACATTTCAGCTGTATGGTACGGCGGATATATGTTTGCATGTATGTGTGTAGATGTGGTTCCCACTTTTACTTATTGGCGCAATTTTTCCCAATTGCTTTTTTTCTGTTGAAATATTTACCACTTATTTCGAACTTTTTCTTAATATATTTTTCCGAATTGTGTGCAGTATTCCACATATTTATTAATAGGCAAGGTCCCCCGTGGGACCCGCGCTGTACTTTTAGACGAAAATTCACAATAATATTTTGCTTTTTGGAACAATAGAGGCACCACTACACAACGACCGACGACGACAACGTAAATATGTGCTGCCTGCCTTTTGCTGCTGCTTCTTCTTCGTATTTTTTCTACTTCACGTACGTATTTTCACAATTAGGTTTTCCATTTGGTCAAAATTTTCATTTGCATTTTTCATATTGAAATTGTTGTTTCCACCACTGACTAATATCGCATTTGGCAAGGCGGACCGGTCGGCTATCGTTTTAGATGCGTTTTTTATTGCGAAATTTCTTAAAACTTTATTAAAAATAGTTTTAAAATATTTTTATACGAATTTACACAGCACGTATAATTGAAGCCATTTTTATATTTCTCGCTCTCTCTTAACAATAGAGCGAGACGGATATAGTGGTGGTACAGTAACAAAACGAAATACCAAAAACATTTGACAGAGTTGTATTTTTGGGGCACAAATTTGTGATGGGTTGCCATTTGGAATGTATTTTTGGTTGGTTATTAATTTTTGTACGAATTTCAACAAAAGGCTTGAGAATAAATATTAAAAAAATTAATAATTACAGCCTGTTTTTGTAAAATTATAAACGAACGAATTCGAGCGACTTACGACCAAACTGCTTGGTTTTGAAAAATATGTCATTTATTTTTGTTTTGAATCAGAAAACCTTTATAAACCTAAATAAAGGTTTGGTCGTAAGTCACTCGAATTCGTTCGATTGGAATTTTACAAATACAGGCTGTTTGAAGAAAATAGGAAAATTAGGTTTTCGAATGACATCTATAAGATAGAAGAGAGATAACATTTATATAGTTATCAAGAAAAATTGACAAACATACGACAACGATTCCTGAAAAACTACGACCTGTAGAATACATAAAAAATTTACATTATTTATGTAAAGTCTATTCACAATAATACATTTTGACAGCAAATGTATTATTGTGAATACTTTGACTGTTAATCTGATAGTCAGCATCGCTAAATGAACTACTTTTATTTACTGTATCATTAGTGTGACCTTCGACTTTGGACTGTATCATATTTATGCGATGCTACTGTGACATCAGCAGCGGCCGCAGCTGATAAGGCAGACATTGTATAGGTTCGGGTAGAGGTGAAACCGATTTTAGCCCATTTGCCCATAGTACCCAGGAAATGGGTACATAAAATATTGTTGAATTTTTTTCTTTTTTTTTTTTGAAGAGACTTAGTATGCGCAGCTGTTTGTGGAATTTGGTTGAAATTCTGATCCTTATAGACCAATAATCTACTAATTGTTATGCCCTCCGCCATAAGGTGGAGTGTATATTAGATTTGTCATTCCGTTTGTAACACCTTGAAATATTCACCGGAGACCCAAAGAGAATATATATTCTTAGTCAAAATAAAATTCTATATCGATTTACGCATGCCCGTCTGTCTGTCGGACAGTCTCGAAATAGTTAATAAACATATTTGCACAGACATCCTAGGATGTTTGTTATTGCAAATGCCATATATTGTTCCACGTTTTGGTGTAGCCCCCCATATTACGGTACTGCCCAAAATTCGGTATTTTGGGAATTTTGAACAAGTTTTCTAACCGAATTGGCTGTAATTCGGCATTTTGGGTTCTCACAACAGTACCAAAAATTATTAATATTGACAAAAGTTTCAGGGTAGCCCTCATATATCGATACTCCCCACTACTCGGTATTTTGGGGATTTTAAACAGATTTTCTAACCGAATTAGCTGTAATTTGGCATTTAAGGGAGAAACACATAAGAGGACTTTCAGGCTTGGCATGTTAAGTTGGGTTATTTTATTGTAAAAAATAAAGGAGAACGGCGTCCAAGTACAACTTTGACTCTGATATTCCTTTATAAATTGGCAATTTAGATGAAGCCAACTTAACAGGGCAGACCTGAATCCTCATATGTGTTTCCCCCCTTTAGGGTTTTCATTTAGGGTTTACACAACAGTACCAACGATTATTAATATAGATCTAAGTTTCAGGGCAGCTTCCATATAACGGAACGCCCCAATATTCCGTATTTTGGAGATTTCAGACACGATTTCTAACCTAACTGGCTTTAATTTAGTATTTTGTGTTCCCATTTAATACATGTGGTATTATACCAAAAATTATTTATATTGACCCAAGTTTAACGTTAGCTCCCATTTAATGATACCTCCCCATTATTCGGCATTTTAGAAATTCTAGACAGGTTTTCCAACTGAATTTGCTGTAAATTTGTATTTTGAGTTCTCACTGTATAGCTCATCTCTGTACTAAAAATGTAGGGTTCCCATATAATACCACATGTCCATACCAAAAATTATTTATATTGACCCACGTTAAAGGGTCGCCTCCATAATATGATACTCCCCAACTGGCTGTAATTTGGTACTTTGGGTTCTCATAACGATATCACCACATCTCCGCACTAAAAATTATCAATATTGACCCGTTAATTGTAGGTATTTTGATTGACATCCTCATGGAGGAGGGCAAGATCACCCAGGTAGCAATCGAAATCGGAATACAGCTGTTTTTTTCTTATGTCTAATGTGAAAAATGTGGACTTTGTTAACGTTTCCATAATGGCATTACGCAAACATGAGTGGCTGCTGATATCCAGATGGTCTCATTGTATGACCTTATTTATAGGAATGGTGGAGGGTATGAAAAATTCAGCCGAACCTAACATCTTTTTTACTATTCCTTTTTATATAATAAAGAGACTTTGTTATCTTAGTAAGAAGTAGTAGATTCTTGGAGTACGGAAACAAACTAAATTTACAAGGCATGGTGTAAATGCACTAGATTTGTAAATTGAGAAAGCGAATTTTGTAACCCTCTACCATGAGTGGGCATTCAAAATACCAGGAGAAAACGAAGTACTAAACTACCAACACTCCGGTTAGAAAATTGGGCTAGGTCCTATCGTAACATCAACATGAGAATGGACATGGCAAAATATACTTAGAAGTTTATTTTGATGAGAAATATATACTTTATGGGGTCTTCGATAAATGTTTAAAGGTAAGGCAAATGGAATGAAATATTTAAAGTTCTAATGTGTATGCCGTTTTATGCAAAAAATAAAATCGTTGGTATTCCTCATTTCCGTAAAATTGATATTAAAAATTTAACTAAGTGGTAACACTGTACAAATAATTATCTTGTCTACATAGGCGCCATCTTGATGTCATGTAGACACAATATGGCATTGGCAAAATACCGGTTAGTGGCAAATGTAACGTATGTCATTGAACAGCCAACTAACATAACGCCGTTAGCATTTAAAATTAAATGAAACACATTCGATTTGCAATCAAATATTTAATATATTGCATATTAATAATAATAGTATATTTACATATATATTAAAAAAAATTATAAAAAATTCATCGTTTTTTATTGTAATAAAAACAAATATTCATATAACACAATAGAACATTTAGTTTTGTTCTTTTTTAATTTTTAAGAATTATTTTAAACATTGATTTGGCATTTTTACGTCCATTCACAATGTACGCCAGCGGATCATCTTTTGATGATTCCATTAAATTGTCACAGGTGGTTTGATTGATGGGAAACATAAAGGACAAATCAATGTCATAGCGTGGTAGTTTTTCTCTGCAAAACATAGAAAACAATAATAATTACTTTAAATGCATTGATTAGAAATTTGAAAATACTCACTTCAAGAAATTTATCACATTTTCACCCAAAGTGGGTTCCCGTGAGAGTAACAAAGCGGATAAATAACGTGGATGTTTCTTCTTCTCGGCACAGTGCATAATTAAGCCCCATGATTTATAGTCCGTATCGAGAACATAGGTATTGTAGATTCCTTCATCTGTAAGGAAGAAAACAAAGAAGTATATGAGTTTAATAAAATTCTTTGGTAATTTTGAAGTAGGAACTTATGGATATTTAAATATTTAATATAAAAAATGGAGAGGCCCGAAGGTGCTGACCTCTCCACTGGAGACTAAAGAACTTTATATAGTAATTGTATTCAGAACTTTGGGACAGAAGGTCTTCTCATATAACAGCAGACGTTTCTGTTATAGAAGGACAAAATGTTATATCGTAGAAGACTAGCTCCCAGATGATAAGAAGATTTACTCATAAAAGTCCAGGAGATCTTCATATAGGAGTTTCGTAATTCTAATTGAAGTCTATGGTATGCCAAGAAATCTTATTATAAAATATAAAAATGCCTCGTAGTAGGTCTCCTTAAAGATGGCAAGAAATTAATTTCATAAAAGTCATAAATTCTTTACATAGATGATCAGTAGATCTTCTCTTAGAAGTCTAACTGCTTGGTCTTCTAAGAGAAAGCTTCTCTTAGAAGACTAGGAGGACCACAAGACGTTCTTATATATGGCCCATGTCATGAAAAATATCAGGATTTTAGGAGAAGATCATTTGACCTCTAGGGTCATCAATTTAGACCAGGAGGTACTTTTTAAAAGGGATCAGAATGTCTCCTTAAATACGAGTAGTAGGTCTTCTTACCAGGAGGACTTCTCATAGACACAGACCAGACAGTTCAGAAAGTCTTTCCACTGAAGCCATGAGTTCTTCCCATGTATGTAATTTTAGATTTTTTAAGAAGGCCTGGATCGGATGATATGAAATATTGAAATAGGAGGTTTTCCCTAAAAGTTTTCTCATATATGCCTAGAAGGCCTATTTATACAAGGATGGAATACCATCATTATATAAGAGGGCTTAAGGGATTCTCTATAGAAGGCCAGAAGGATCTTTTACAGAGATCAACAATTTGTCTTTCATAGAAGACCAGAAGTCATTCTTCCACAAAAGAGTAGGAGCATTTCTTCTTAGAAGTCCAGGAGGATGGTTCAATATAGCATTCCTAATTGAAGTCAAGAGGATTTCTCTATAGAAAACTTGAAGCCATTATTTACAGTAAGCCAGAAGCAGAAAGTATTCTTCAGAGACACTCACAAGGTCTTCTTCACGAAAGGCTAAATTCTTATTTTTATATATGTATAGGAGGACTTTTTTATAGTAGGCCTGGAAATATTAAAACCCGAAGACCTTTTTCTTAGAAGGCTACAAGGACTTTTTCATAGAATGCCAAAAGGTCATCTTCACAGAATATCAGAAGGGTTTCTCATGGAATAACAGTA